TGATAAAATAATAACTTCATAAGTCCATCAAAAAACTATTAAAAAAAAAAAAAAAATCATAATAATCTTATTAGAGAAAAAATATAACATTTTTAAAATTTATAATAAATACATATTATAATATTATAGTAATATATATAGTTTCATAATACAAATTAGTTTATGAAATATAATACAAAATTAAATTGAGGAATTATTGATATTCTGTAAAAAAGGGCTTCTTATTAGAATCCCTGAACTTGGCCCCCGAAATGAAAGTTCTCAATGGTGTTTCAACATCAATTGCATCAAATTTACTAAATTATATGTTAAAATAAACACCAATTACCAAATTACTGTAATTTATAAAATAGATCAAATTTATGATTCGAATAAGAACTTACCAAATATCACAGAACATATTGACAATGTGTGAAACACCTTCTTCTTTTTAAAACCTTTGTAGCTATACTTTTCAAGTAAATTATCTTTGAAAATATACCTCATTATTGAACGTATAGTACTTTGCAAAGAATTACGAGAGAATCGTGTAAGCTCTGAAATCTACAAAGACTTACAGTTACATACAATATAATATTGAAAATCAAATTTTATACATATTTAATAATTTTGAAAATGATATAATATCCAATTACAATTATTAGGATTATTCAAATTATAGTGATATATAATATCAACAAGAGTTAGGTATAACCGTATAACTACACTTAAGTAGTTATAATAATTATTATAATTTAATCAAAAAATAAATTTAAATATCATGACTTCAATGTTTTTGTAAATGACATAAGTTTTATCACTTAATATTATACATAATTTCATTTAATAATAATTTATTATTTTTATCAATATTGTTTATATTTTAAATTAACTGCCACATTTTTATTTTCCAAAATTAATCCCTTGGATATTTTTTTAATTCTATTAATATTTACTTATTTCTATAATAAGCTAAATAAGCGATGCAATTGAGATAAATAAATAAAAATATTATTATGAGATATATTTTTTTTTTTTAATATTTGAAATGTAATACTCATAAAAATTGCTAGACAAATGTTCAACAACATATATGTCTAATTCACCAGACTCTATGGGTTTAACAAATAATTGATGTTTTTTTTTTCAAATTGTTTACAAATTAAAACAATATCTTCTGAATTTTCTTTTTGAATAATGTTAATTATTTTTACTATGATCTTTTCATGAGTTATAAAATATGAATCAGCTTCAATATGAGTTTTGAGGATCATGTTTTTAAATATTATAGAAGTAAACTGTTTTCCTATATTTAGTAATGTAGGTCCACGATTATGAAGTCCAGCTAAAAAAGGATGCTTTTTGCTAATAATTTGAGATTTTAATGAACACACTTCACTATATCTTTTAATAATTTGCTCAAGAGGCTTATGTGGCTTTCTCAACATTTTTTTCAAATATCCCATATAATTTTCGAATGGAAATGCTGAACATTGATCTAGTGGCCCGAATTCCTTAAAGTCATCACATAAATGTAATAGACCGTGAATATTATGTGATATAAAATGACGACCATAGATCGTTTCAAAATCTTTGACAAAACTATTCAACAATCTCCTTGCAACTTCAATATATTTAAAATAATCTGGGCTTAATAATATTATCATAGATATATTTAATTTAAAGAAATGATTCCAATGTAAATCTTTTAAAGATGTTTTAGTGACAATTGTACCCACATGGAGTAAAAATACTCGAAATTCGGTGGCTTTCCATCTATTAACATCCTCAAGTTTTCTTTGTTTTCTTGCAAACTCACAAGGCATGTTTTTTTTAATGTTTAGAATAAAATTGGATATTTCTTTTATTTTCCAATATATTTTCCATAATAGAGAATTCCAACAGGTCCTTTAATCCACAATAAAATTAGTTTACGAACGATTCCAAGGCATACTAAGTGCATGTAATCAAGAGAAAATCCAGTGATAATATTAAAGTTAGACAAATTTGCTATGATGGAGATATTTCCAACATGATGTTCTTCCTGAGTTTGCATTATATAATTTCTATGAGTTCTTTTGAGGGGGGCAATTTGTAGAAGAAGTGTATGGAAAACAAATTCTATTAGACATATATTCTTCTTCGTGTTCACATCTAGAGCAAGAATAAAATCCAGAATGCCCTTTAATTTTTAAGATGAACGACTTGGCCGGAGCATCACAAGAAAAAGCATTTATAGAAAATGTATAAAATGTATTATTAATGCAAATACCATTTTCAATTAATTCTTTTGCTTCTTCAACAAATTCTTTTAAGAAATCGTTACTATCAATAGGCTTTTCTTTACCACAATAAATTCCAATAGGAAACACTTTATTGCTATTAGGGCGAATATATGCTAGGATTGGCTAAAATTGATCTGGGCTACTTTTAAAAAATTGGCAAGCCATCAATACCCACAACAAGCAGAACAATTTTATTTTTACCTAAATTACTTGTAATATTCTGTTTCACTCCATTTAATATACCAAAATGATAATATGTCCCTGGCTCCACAGTTCGATAATTTGAAATAGATATTTGTTTTGTATTTAAAACAGTTCTTGAATCTTTTGGTAAAGTTTCAAAACATTTATGCTGTTTAAGTATTGTTAATAATCTGTTAAGTGCATTTTGAGGTATGTTATATGAAACAGCCCATTCAGAAATTAATGACCTAAATAATGATACTTGATCAAAAATATCATTCCAATTAGTTAGGTCATCATCATCACACGAATCATCTTCCTCAGAAGATGATGTTAATGATAATGAATGTACTAATTGAGGTATAAGTTCACTATCTTCTACATCATTAGTAATGTGATTGTTTGTCATTAATTGTTGGTTGAAGTCAATATTTTCAATAGGTTTTATTATGGGAGGTTCAATAAAGATAGGTAAAGTTGATGCAATATTATTTGAAATTTCAACAAACTCTTCCACTTCTTCTTGAACTCTCCTTCTTTTGGACCGGCTACTAAAATTACTTGTTTTTTTTTTTCTGTATGACATTCTAAATTATAAGGAAAGATAAGTTTCATACTTACAGAACTTTTTTAAACATAACATAATGAGTGATACAAAAATAACAATTACAATATAGGTTACCAAATAAACACAAAATAAATAACTATACACAGATATATTATGTAATTTAACTAAAAACTACTCATTACTTTATATAAACAAAGGTAATATAATATGTATATATAAATATATACAGTTTTCTACAAAGATATACCATTAATTATAACAAACAACGAGTATAGATAAACAATTAAATTTGTCATTTGCTAATTTATCTAAGCTAAAATATATTTATGTATGTCTTTAGTGATTAAACTAATTATCTATTAATATTCTTATAAAAAATAAATGTATATCTAGGTACTAGATCTTATTTTATATGAAAAAAAAAATATTCTTAAAAATAAATGTATTTTAGTTTTCACTAACTTAACATTTTAAATTCCATAATAGGTACATGAAAACTTAAATAAATACAAAGTTGTTATTTTAACCATGCGACACTTTTTCATACTAATAAATAATTAATATTATTCTATATTTTACATTGTTTATTTGAACATATATATGTGTATAGATTTTTAATAAATAATATAATATATTATATATTTATAATATACTTTTCAATAATATAAAATATTTAGAAAATTTAGTTGCAAATATAGAAGTGTGCTTGATTTTGGTGAGTATTTTCAAATACTGAATTGATCTACTAAATAATTTAAATTTAATATTATTAACTAGTGCCCTATGTAGGCTTTTATATTGATATTATTATATGTAAGCAAGTTATGGCCATAACTAAATATAAAATAGGTAATAATCAGTGATGTAGTCCTAAAAATTTTAATGGGTACACGCCTGAATCATTGTAAAATAAAAAGTGGGGGGGAGTAGCCCCCCACACACCCTAAATAGTACTCGTCCATGTTATCTACTAGTGATTATAACATACTTGGTGAACAAAACCACCATTTTCATTTATAAATAGCATATTAAACCATCGACCAACATTAAATTATGGTAGACAAAATACTCAGGGTAGATAGCATATTGAACAAGTACTCAATATTTTGTCTATAGTATAATATACAATAATACCTACTACAGAATGATTGATAATTAAACTCATGATCCATAAATAATGTTTAAAAATAAAATACTTGATAAAATTAAAAACTGTATAATTTAACACAAAATATAAATTATTAACATATTATTATGAAACATTTTTAATACATTTTACATAGTTAAAGTAATTGCCATAGTTTATATTTTGGGTCTTCAGTTGCAGTGCTGGTATTAACTTTTCTTGATTTGTTGTCATCAGCATCTCTATGGGAGGTTAACCAACTTTCGACATAATCTTTAGGATTCCATCTTTGTAAAGGTGGACCATTAATATTTATGAACATTGAATTAGAAATGTTGTTTATTAACAATCTTGAACGAAGATCTGTACATATATTGTTCATAACACTAAATCCACGTTCGCACTCAGCTGTTGAGCATGGAAATGTCTTGATTAAAATATTTATGTCATTAAGTTCTTCAATTAAAGTTATATCATTATTATCATTGTCATCAATATAGATTCGCATTCCTTTTAATGTCTTTACTTTATTAATACAAAATCTGTCACAAATACGTTGTATTTCTTTTTCACCAAAGCGTATCTCAACTTCAGAAGGCCATAATTTTTTATCAAATATTTGAAAGTCTTCAAGTATAATTTTTTCTTCACCTTCATTTGGTATAAGTCTCATATTTAAATTATTTACTACACTTGTTATAAACTGGTTCTTATTTATACAAGTTATCTTTTCATTGTTAGATAAAACAACAGTTTTAAATATCATTTTTTTCTTTTGCTTTAACAGCTTCTGAAAAAATAATTACCATTCATAGTTTTCAATGACTCAATAACTCTAATTGTTCTTCTTATTAGTACATCAGCCTGCAATAGAGACAGATCTTGTTTTTTGTAAGTCAAGTGATAGTTGTGATATCTCAAATAAAACATCACACATTAAGGCTAAATCTAACAAGAATTGTATACTTCCCAAACGCTTACTAAGCCCATTGTATTTAGACTTAATTTTACCATCACGAAATTTATCTTGAGAAGCTTGAATAAGATGATTATATAATGCTGGATATATTTTCCAAATTATACTAATTGTTCTAAAACTACTTGCTACCCAGCGAACGTCAAGAACTTTTCCAATTTTTAAAAAAATTTCATTTAAACTTGTACAGTGTTCTTTTAATTCAATTTGGTTTTTTGGAGATCTGCTGTATAAGGAATATAAAGAATCTAAAAAATGCTTAAAATGATTGGTAGCAGTTATGTCCTTTAATGTATCACCAACTGCTAACTCTAATCGATGATTAAGACAATGCCAACTAAAAATTAAGGGATACTTTTCTTTCAAGCGCACAGCCACTCCATTTCTTTTTCCAAGGAGAACACTAGCTCCGTCTGTTACAAATGATACCCAATGTTCTACCAAAAAATTTTCTGTGAATCCAGAAGCATAAAGACATTCTATTAATTGACTAACAATACTAGAAGCGGTTTGACTTTTTAATTCTACCAAATCCAAAAATATAAAAATAGGTTCCGAGTTTAATATTGATGCTTTAACATAAACCACCATACCTGATAAAGAACTTACAGTAGTGGATTCATCTATAAGAATAGAAATTTTAGATGCAGTTGCCATAATATTTTGAACTATTTTAGTTTTCATTTTATCTGCAATATGTGAAATAATCTTTGTACTAGAGTACCTAGAATGCAATGTAGTACCAAGGTTAAGTCCATTGAGATGCTGTAATTCAATTAACTTTGAGTGGTCATCATAAGGTCTATTATACTTGGCAATATAGTAAGCTGTACGAAAAATTTTTTGTGTTGTTTCATAGAAATTAGATTGGCCAATTTGAAAAGCTTTACTTAATAAGTTAGAAGATTTTTGTTGCGAAATTTTTTCAGTTTCTATATGTGCTTTAGACTTTTTATGTTTTAAAATTTTGTGCCGTAAATTAGTCAATCTGGTTGATTTAACTGTATTTGAACCACCATCAATCTTTGTTAAGCACCATTCATTTGATATTTCAACACCTTTACTTTTAAATGTTTTTTAATGTATCTACTGACTTACAATATTCACAACCAATTTTTCCATCACTGCATATAAGCCAAGGATATTTATTCTTTTTTTCAACCCATTGATCATAAGACCAATCTGATGGCCAAGGTACTGAACTTTTAGTAATGCAGTTAATAATGTCACACATCTGAAAAAATAAATACATTGGGTATTGATATGATAAATTTAGAACTAGTTATATAACTATATAACAATATACTATTTTATGCAAAAAATTAATATTAATTAAAAACTTAACTTTTTGAATAATTGAAATATTTCAATTATCTTAAATTTTATTATTTGATATTTTCTACTTAATTTTAACTCATTTTATTGAATTCTTATTTAACATTTGATCATTGTAATTTTTAGTATTAAAAAAATTAGGTAATATAGATAATTTAGATATTCTAGAATTATAATGATGGATAAAATATATAAACATAAATTAATGCACAGGTCGCATAAAAATAATAAATTAAACTACCTATTGTTACTTTACAAAAGTATTATTACTTTATACTTGATTTAAGTTTTGATCATCTTCTGAAATCAATGGATGGGTTGATTTATTATTCTATATTAATTAAACAATTAAAGTTTTGATTAAAGTGTTTTAAAGTAATTTGGTGAAACTTACCATTTTAGATTTCTTCTTTGCCACTGGTGACGGATCATCTTCATCATCTGAATTTTTATTAGTCTTCACAATATTTGGTTTGACTAAACTAATTTCAATAATTTGACTAACTTTAGTCTAAACATAAGAAACTGTATTATTAAATTTGAAAAAAAAAATTTGTAAATATAATATACATGATATCTACATCTATCACATTTTTAAGGCCTCGACATTTCTAAATTAGACTATGTCCAGTGGACATAAGATAATAGCGACTTACCTGCGTAAAAAAAACATGATGCTACCAATAAATAATAAAAATTGTCTTACCTTGGTCGTTTTTGTGAGAAATTTCTCCATATTAACTAAACAAGAACACAAGAAAACGAGACACGACTATACAAAAATTCGATGTATAACATGCAAGATAATATTATATTTTATATAAATGTACGTGTATACTGTTTAATATTATCTTTGCTAATAAAGTAGTAACAGTTTTAAAATAACATAACTTACTATAATAATACTAATGTGAAAAAGTACTAGGGACAGAAGGTTTATATAGAATTATTGTAATAAATACTTGGAACAATAACTGATAACTAGGCAAAACAACAATATTGTGAACGTTAACAAATGGTTTAAAAATAGATTTGTGTACAAGACTCTGTACAACATGATTTAAGATAGTAATACTATAGCCATGGTACAAGTAAACCACGGACTTTTATGATCTTTTCTTAGTCCGTGAAATAAACAAATTACGCTTATCTTTTTTTACTTATTAAATATCAAAATTTAATAAATTTAGATATTATTTGCTGGGTAACGTTAATTCATCTTATTTATGCTCCGTGTACCCGTGTACTACGATTTTCGTTAAAGGTACACGCATAGTTATAAAATTAAAGGTGGCTACACACTAACTGTAAGCTTGTCAATCATGCAGATACAATTTTTTTGTACAAGTATGCATAATTTTCCTTTGTCACCACACGGCACAAGCATGCTTGAAAAGCAAGATCAGTTGTAAACATGTCGAGTTTGGACGATGACGCTCTCGCTCTAGCTGCTTTTGCTATAATTTTAAAAAAGAAAAAATTTAAGAAAAAACGTGCAATGTGGTGTAAAGATTGGTTGATGAAAAGGAAAACTTTTTCTCATATCAATTTATTAAATGAATTAAAAATATATCCACGAGATTGGCACAATTACCTTCGAATGGATGAAGAAACTTATTTAAACCTTTTGTCCCTAGTAACACCTTTAATTAAAAAACAAAATACCATAATGAGAGAAAGCATAACACCACATGAAAGATTAACGGCTACATTGAGATTTCTCGCAACCGGAAGAAATTATGAAGACCTAAAATATTCTACTCTAATTTCACCACAGGCTCTAAGTTACATAGTTCCTGAAACAAACAATGCTATTTACAAGGTGCTAAAATCACAATATTTGAAGGTATGTATAATAAAATTATATTATATTTATTTAAAAACAAATTATGTCTTATATTATTATAATTTATTAAATACATGAATTTAATAATAATAATCAAATGCACTGAACATTAATTAAAAATAATTATTATACCCGTTGTTTGATTGCTGATATTGAATGATTGAAGGCGGTGGTAATTGCATAGATGTTATGGAATGTAACATGGTTAACTGCCCTGTTTCCGCCATAAATAGAGCTTCATTTATTATTTTTTTCAGCAAACAATTTTTGATTGTTATCTTTTATGTCCTTCATTTTTAGAGCCACATGTTTTCCCATGACATCATATCTATCATCCTTTATTTTTGGTTTTTTTGAAATGATGTTCAATTGTGTCTATTAATGAATCGCATTTGTCATTACTTCGTTTAGAGGGTCTTGGTGATTTTTTTAGACGAGGTTGATTGAATTGGATTATCTTCAGATGGAAAACATTCGATTTCTTTTGTATAATATTATCAGCTTCCTCTAGATTATCTACTACATTTTCTTCCTAAAATTAATAATAAAATGTCAATAATGTAATTTCATAGTATAAATAAAATATCTGAACAATTATTTATTAATACGTATTTTAGATTAGCAATAAAATAAAAGAGTTGGTTTTACAGTGATTTATTTTTTCAACATGAAATTGTTCATATTTTTTCAGTTCCCACAAACAGAAAATGATTGGAATATTATAGCGAGCGAATTCGAAAAGAGGTGGAATTTTCCTCACTGTCTTGGATGTATTGATGGAAAACACATTGAGATAGTTCCACCTTCTGGTAGTGGTTCATATTTTTATAATTATAAACAAAGACATAGTATGGTCCTACTTGCCATTGCAGATGCAAAATATAGATTCATTTTATTTGATTTCGGTACTAATGGCCGAGTATCCGATAGGGGTATTCTTCAGAATACAGTTTTCTATAGAAAACTAAAAGATAATTTATTAAATATTCCAAAAGAAACAAAAGTCACAAATAGTTTTCGAAAACTACCATATGTTTTTATTGGAGACGATGCTTTTCCTCTAAGATCTGATATACTTAAACCATTTAGACAGAATCATTTGAATTGTAATGAAAAAAAAAATTTATAACTATCGATTATCAAGGGCACGGCGAATTATTGAAAATGTATTTGGAATTTTAACATCACGCTTTAGAATATTTCACACCGCAATAAATTTAAAATTAGAACATATTGATTCAGTAGTTAAAGCAAGTTGTGCTTTACATAATTATTTAATGTCAACCGTCAGTCAAATGTACGCTCCATCAGAATGTATGGATTCTGAAGACATAGATAATGGTACATTCCGCACAGGATTGTCGTCGAGTAATTCGAACATGTTGCCTTTACAATGTTCAGCAAATATTGGAAACATACCGACAAACGCAAAACAAGTAAGGTGTGAATTTATGAACTACTTTAACACTGATGGACAAGTACCTTGGCAGCATAACTTTATACATTAGAATATTTACTGAAAATTGTAATTTAAAAATTGAAATGTAACTAAAAAAAAATGTATTTTTTTTAATCTTATTGATATTTACATATTTATTTTGTTTATGAACTTATTGCTTATTACTTATCGGAAGGTCCTATGTAATTTTTTTTAATAATATTTAATCGTTTTTTAATATCAATATAATGTGATTATTCATCAAACCAAAAATAGTTTTTATATGATTAATGAATATAATTTTGATTTTTTTTTTCAGTTACGATAATATATAAAAATAAATAAAAAATATAAAAATATGCTATATAAAATAAATATTAATCAAATATAAATAAAATGTACCTCTCTTTCATCAATGTTAGAGAATGAGTTTCTTGGTGTCTCTTGATCGCTTAGAAAGTCGAACAAGTTGTAGTACCAAAGACTTGGTTCGTATACATCATCTGCACCAGCACCAGAGCGACGAGATTCTTCAATTTTTTTCTTTTCTCTTCTAAAATTAGTTCTGAAGCTATTTATTTTTTTTACAACCGCATCACGGTCTGCGTTCGGATCAATTAATTTATATTTTTTCTAATAAAATTTTATACGCTGCTTCTTTTTTCGGCTTATCGTGGTATTCTTTAGATTTAATCCGCCACAAACATGGTAGTCCTTGGTAAGCACGAATAAAATCTTCAAGAAGTTCTCTATGCCCTTTTCGTATATCTGAAGTCATCTTTTGTAATTTTTTTTAAATTACAAACTACAAACTACAATTTCTCCACAAAACAAAACAAGACGTAATCACGTTTAATCACAGTTTATTACTGATTGTTCTAATTAGCTGTACGACGCGTACTGTACGCACATCGCGACGTGCGTACACACGTTCAGATTTGCTTGTACCAGCGCAACTTGCACAAGCATGCAGATGAAAATGTCATCAATCTTCATTCCGCTTGTACAATCACAATGCTTGCACAAAATTATCATACAGACGCTCAAGTATGCTTGTACAAAATGATTGTATGTACATGATTGACAAGCTTACAGTTACGTGTGTAGCCACCTTAAGAGGTGGGTACACGCCGTGTACCCCCGTGTACCCTCCACTACACTACTGGTAATAATAATAATAATGCTATACCTAATATCAATAGAAACTCACGTGGGACCCTAGAATAATCTAAGGTACCTTTTAATTTTATAATAGATCAATTAATTTTAATAGTCTAATATCAAAACCAAGAGCATAATATTGAAACAGATAAACAAACATTTGATATAGATTTATAGGTAACGTACGACCACGTGTAAGACAGAGACAAAAAATACAAGTGCGATGTTCATATTGTTTTATTATTTTACAATTTAGCCAAATTAATGCCACATGTATTAGGTATAGACTAAACATAATAAGTCTACGCAACGGCGTGTCCATAAACGTGTTTACGGCTGTAAGGCGTAAATGTATCAATTTCACGAATCGTTTCGTGTATAAATTAATAATATATTATGTAGATTCACTTACTTGCAAGAAGTCGTGCGCTTTGCTACCGTCGTCGTATATTACAGTATGAATGTATATTGAGTGCAGAGTGTAAGACTGTTGTGAACACGCTTGTTGTAGATGATTGTTTAAAATCAAAATAATTTGTGTAGTTGTGTATCCGTGTCGAATACAACTACAATAATTATTATAGTCGATATTGAGATACTTTTGGGAAATACCAGAATTGCTTTATTATAATCACAAAATAAGACAATATTATCGTCATCGCCAGATAGATTAGCGGTTCATACCGATGTACAACGATATGAAACACATACCTAAGTAACGTTATAATTCTGCTTTCTGTAGCGATTTAATTCTGATAACATTGATCATGTTTATTTACACTTTCTTTAATTGCACACACGCGCATATTATTATTATGTACGCGAGTCGCGCGAATTGTGCATGCGACAGTTAAGGTGTTATTCCTTAGGACGCGACTGTAGACTAGTGATGGGAACAATCGAGAGAAAATAATCGAAATACTCGATTGTTTGAATCACTCGATTATTTCGATTGTTTTGAAAATTCTCGAATGATTCTCTCAGTATCGAAATCAGCTGAAATAATCGAGTGAATAAAATTACTCGGCGAGTGATTCTCGCGATCTCTCGAAATATTTATCTGCATAATATATAAAATGACTTGTCCTGGGTGATTCATCATCGCCTATTTTATTATAACAATAAACCGGAAAACCTGATTTTTTGGACTTAGTGTGTTTTGCATGAACGGGGACATTTTGATTCTCTCAAAACAAAACACTATTATTTAATATTTTTGATCGGGTTTTAATCGTAATAGGTACTGCAGGATTATCTAAAATAAGAACTATTCTGTACTATATTTTAGTAC